AGAACTTATAACATGCAGCATTAGAAATGCGTTCTCTCCTTTTCCGGACGTAGGATGAAATAAGAGAGAAAGAGTGGGTTAATGGCGTAAGAGCTTATCCCGATTTTTCGTTGAATAACTTGCTGTTTGATGTTATTGCTTCTCTCATCTGCTTTGAATGCCGCATGCTGCGGAGTACTACGCATGATTGACTTTGTCATGACAAGTTCTTCTTTGCACTCGAGTTATCGTTCTGCGTGGTTTTAGGATGGCTTGAATGTAGTTACACGCTGTCTTCCTCTCATCGACGTGCTCACGAAACCATTGAATTCGAATTCGAAGTGTGCAGTTTTGTGCTATTTGCCATTCATGTTGGAACGTCAAGCCTCCCAACGGCTTTCATGCCGTCGGTAGAGCAATATTAGAGGTGTGTGTGCGTGTGTGTGGGCAAAGTCTAATTAATCCCCAAAAACGTACGTGTGGGCATCTAATCTCCCCCCAATTAGGGCATCTACGCACACCAACAGCATCTGCAATTTAGTAAAATTACTTCCCAACATCAGTGCTAAGTGTGCATCGCAGCAGACAAACGCAATTTATACATCACTCTCATCTCTTCCCACCATAGTTCACAAACACTCGCATAAATTCAGGTATTTGCCGCTGAGTAAAACTTATATATTTTATTCGTTAATTTCACCATCACCTCCAATTTACAGTTCATCTCAGGTAAGCAATTTTCATAGCTTTTGAACATTATACATTATAACATGTCTAAGTCCGTCGTCCTATCATAGATTAGAAGCATCGCAGTAAATTTGGCGAGACAAATGAGAATGCTTTTGGTATAAAAAGGTTTAGGCAGTTTCAGTAGGATGTCCGGAAGCATTTCATACAAATCTGTCTTGAAAAATGCGCAGTAAGGACACTTAGCAGAGGTGCAAATCATGACGCCTGCGCGAGGGTGTTCGCATCACCTCCACCGTAAGCATTGCCACAACAGACAGCTACTGGAGCGCGTGCCGCTGGCCCCGTGCATATAGTTAGGAAACTGTTCGACTGACCCACCTCGTTTGCTTTTTGGTCATCTATTTAAAGAACTGCGCAATCCCAAGTCTTAGGAATCTCACTTGTTCCCACGTTACCTCATCTTACAAATCGCCTTGCATTTCGCATTTACTGAGAAAGGAGGAATCCCTCGTTCGCATGGTTGTACGTAGTATTTTGTTTAAAACAATTTCCAACGGCATTTTGTTATCATCTGTGCGGTTATCAACTCCCCAATTAAAAGGCGGAAATATTTACTTGTGGAGTGGAATTAACGTGACTGAGTTGACATTGATAGTGCTAAGTAAATGGCTCTGACACTTGTCAGTTAATAACTCATTTGACTCCTTCAAACCACTAGTGAGAAAATGGTTCCTTCAAACCACTCGCCATTAACTATCTATCGCAGGAAAATCTCTCAACCGTGTTTTGAGTTCTAACATTAAAACAGTGGGTAGACATTAAGACAGCGTATTTAAAGTCTGCAACTTCCTCAATGACTAACGCAGATCTGTACTACAATTGAGGATTGCCAAAGTCTTCAAAAGGCGTGCAATTCTTCACCCAGAAAAGTTGCAATGAATGCAAAACAGAGTGCAGGCAAGCCCCAGTGGCGCAAAAATTAGCTGTCTAAGCTGAACCTAAAATGGATGTTCTCCTTCTGTTAAGACAGGCAATAAAAGTGTACATTCAAGGCCAAAAATTGGTATAAAATATTCGAAGGTTGTACTTTACGATGCAAATCAACTGCACTTTTGAAAGGTAGGAGGCTATGCCAGTATGTGATAAAAACTTATTTTGCCAATCCTGTATGTCTGTCGCAATTCCTCCTGTCACGAATCGATCTAATTTTTTTGTCCCAATTGGACAATGTCTCACTCTGCAAAGAAGCATATTTGTTTGCTTAAAGATATCAATGTATGGCATCAGGAGGAGGGAACTGCAGCGTGTAAGTGACATTCGCATTGCTGCTAATCCCACTAATATGAAGCAGAGTTGCAGGTTGCAGTTACTAGTGCTATCGAATTTGAGGGTGTTATGAGGGTTGCGTGTGCAACAATATTAAACCACTCTACTTACCGAGTTTTGGTGGACATTTTTTACCAATCATGGGGTTGATAAGCCCAACTGGCAAAGTGAGGCACACACTGTTCACACTCCCAAAACCCCAATGTCATTCCTTTGCCTCTGCCTCTCTTTCATTATGCGCTTGACCTTAATAAGCTGCTCTGTTCGTAATTCTGTTTATAAACAGTTAAGTCGGAAACAATCAACAGTTCCTATCTTCTGCATGGTGCGCCAAGTTATCTAATCAAAACCAAAGTAAAAAGTCAAAAGGTGTTGATGTCACATCATTTCCATGGTCCTTTTTACGCATTTTGTACTTTTATTGCAATGGTAGTTCCGTGTACCAAGGCTGTTATGGTGTTTGTAGGCAAGCCTCACGAAGAAATTCTTGCTAAAACATTTTCCACTTTCCAAATCATCTCATCCACACCTCTTCCATCGAGAATTGTAGGTAAAACCCAAAAGCGGCTTATTAATGCATTCAAACAAGAGGAAAATGACATGCCTTGCCTCCCATAAAAAAATATGGTACTAGGGTAGAACAGCAACATCTCGATAAAAACAATCTGCCACAAAAGTTAGCAAATGTAAAGAGAGATGCAATTATCATCCAGTCTTTTCGAGGGAGCTAAGAGTACATTTAATCCCTAGGTAATAGTTCTTACCGGTTATTGTGAATAGGGTAATTTTACACCGGTACGGAGGAGGCTTTTGCTGTCTACGGCTTCATTAAAAGAGGACACTATGCGCTTGTTTGCGAGCATACCAACCCATTTCTCCCATCTTTTGCTCTTCAAGGGCGCTATGGCTTTTCGCAACACTTGACTGATAGTTTGTAAAATGAAGATTTAGACGCTTACTCCACCCGCATGCTATTCATTCAGGGCACCAAAGAGGTGCCCTGTTTGGAAGTTAATCCAAGCATTAAGAAGGAATCATAATGGAAGCAATCATAAGCCTCTGATACGTGAAGTATTTTCCAAAGTGGTAATTAATTGAAGCGACATGAATAACGTCATAGAATTTAATGAAAAAGAGACTGGTGAATGGTAGGCACGTCTTTCCGACTTTGCCGCTGAGGCTAAAACAGAAACTGCGCAGATGGAAGAGTCAGCTTAGTTAGTTATTTAATCAGTTATCCTTTGTACATTCACGATTTACTTAAATTTAACTAATTATACAGCGAGAACAGCTCACAAAAAAGTCGCTTAATAGAAACTGTGAGATTGTGAAAGAATAGCAAGATGTCATACTTTGCGATTTTCTGTCAAGGCTACAAAGAAACTCGTTAAATAACTCAAAGCAATTTTAAATAATAGTTTCTCCATTAGTAACCACCTACAATTTAATTTAATCCCTTATGCAGCCCTTAGTAATGCGCTTCAATTATTCACTTATACAAAAGTTTGTTTTTCTCCTACTATTTTCTCTGAAAAAATAATTACTAAGTTAAGGGAATAAAGAGTGATTTATTTCGAAATAACGTGCGCACTTTACCTGCAGATAAATGCGGCTTTTTTATAGAGATGCATCGGCCAATCATCTTAATTCTGCTTTGCTTATCCCATCAGCTGATTGCAATCACCAATGAAAGCTTCCTCGATTCAGCCAATCACAAAGAGCGTAGAGCATGTAACAGACTGGGTTTAGACACATACTTAGAAAGCCCAATATAGATGAGACCGACTCTCATGGAAATTTCAAAATCAAAATACCAGGCATGCCTGATGTAAACCCAGACGCTGACGATCTGTCGGGAGGAAGGGCGGATAATCTTCAAGAATGGTCAGTAATGCGGAGATTGAGTGAGCAACTGACTGAGGCTACTCTTGCGGCTATGCAAAAAGCCGATGCAAGCTTTCCTGGCAAGCCTCTTCTTGATGTACCCATTCTGGCCTGTCCTAAATGCCATAAACCGGAACCGCTCTATAGCAATGATGCTTTAAATGAAAAAGGCCAGCATTCTAATTGGCACGCGGGATTACAAAGATGCGGTCGCTCAAAAAGCATCGCTCTCTCAGGTTTGGATCGTGGCTGTAACTACTGCACAGCCTATTATTATCAGAACCCTTTGAAGGACTATATTTGGTCTAGACCAAGCGTTCACTCCAGTCGAGCACCAACATGGCAACAACACTACTCATTTCAGTCTCGTTGCTCCAGTGTGACACCAGTTAATATTGACATTGGTGACATACCGGCCATGAGTGGATTATATCGAGACGTAAAACTTCCAGGTCTCAATATTACCAAAGGAGCCCAGAGAAGATCTAGTTCTTTGATCGAGATACCGACTAAGTCGTCACAACACACACAAACGATTTTCTCCAGCATAACGTCAGGCAATGACTTCAGCAGCGCTGGAAATAAGTCAAGGTATCAATTAAAATCTGGCTCTATGTATTCAAAACATGCCTCCGGGTTGCGGTTTCAATTGCCTCCTGCACTTCAGCGGACAAAGTCCTTTCGTAAGCGTGGACTTGACTTTGGACTGCGGAAGACTTTATCCGTAACCAACGCAATAGTTCGTATGCCCATTGAATCTGCAACCCCCTCTAGCAAGAAAAACTTGGATACCTCAACAGGAGATGCAACAAAATACCTCCTCTTCAGTAACACTACATCTTCCCCTTCTATACCCAAACAAACCCCGAATACGTCAGCAGCTCCATCTATTAAGGTAGCACAAAATAATAAAACAATTATCCTTCACAATGATTTGTACAATGCTTCTGAATCAGGAAGTTTGCATTCCTGGCCAGCTGGACACACTGCAAGCACAATGTGTAATGAGGATGAGGAGGCATCAGGTGAAACGTTGAGGAATCACAGAGTGTCCATGCCGAGGAAGCACAGCCTTTCGGATGGATACATTGCACAAGTAAAAACATTTGCAGTAGGTGGTGAAACATCCAACCTAGTGGAAGATGAGGCTCAAACACGACCTGGTAAGAGGGATGTGCAGTTACAGACAATGGAGGACTTTGAAAAAGAAATTAAATCCAGTTTCAACATTCCGCGTATTCTAAATGAGGAGGATCAAACGAAGGAACCAGACGAGGGCCTCAATTGGGAAAGTCCCAGTGGAATGGATGATACGTCAAAACAACGTTCTAAGGAATACTGGAAAGAACAATTTTTGTTGTTTTTTCAACCTTCGGATAACAAGTTGGCGAAGAAATTATTTGGCACAAAGGTGGCACTGAATAAGGAGCGTTCTAGACAACGAAAACAGGGTAAATGGATTATTCACCCGGCGAGTAACTTTAGGTGGGTTGCAGTCTCGGTTTAATTAGGATAGTGTCTTCACGCCTGGGTTTTTCCACTTCTACAAATTTTATTTTTCATGCGGAACTTCAGAACACAGTTAACTCTTTGTCTTA